ATGCTCCTGTATAAAGCCATCGTAAGGCCTCACCTCGAGTACTGTGTTCAGGCTTGGGCACCGTATCTTCGGAAGGACATCAAAGTTTTAGAAGACATTCAGCAGCTAGCAACCCGGATGGTCTGGAGTCTAAAAGAACCCAGCTACTCGGAGAGACTGAACTCCCTGAACCTGTTCTCTCTAGAACGCCGACTGATGAGAGGGGACCTCATTGAAGTGTACAAAGCTACCAGGAACATGGAGCAGTCCCCCATCGGACACTTGTACACCCTGAGGGCCAACAACATCCTCCGAGGGCACTGTTACACACTAGAGAGAACCAGGTGCAGGCTAGCAATTAGGCATCACTTCTTTGTAAATAGAGTGGTCGCTGCATGGAGCAAACTACCAGCTCGAATAGTTGATTGTCCTACAATGAAGGCTTTCAAACTTGAGCTGGACGAGGAGTGGTACCTCTTATTCCCAGAACTGCCCTAGGGATCAGGGTTCCCTAAGTTTACTGATGGAATGCACATAACAGATACTGCGCCGTCTCCCTCTCCCTTCCACCTTCCAGATATTACTCCCTCGTGGATAATTGGAAGAAGCTTTACACTCGCAGGCGAGTCGGTCCACAGACGGAACCCACCATTACCAGGACACCCAACAGGCGAAGACTTCCTGTGATTTGAATTAGAATCTATCTATCTATAGATATACCGAGAGCATATCGAAAATCAAACCACCCGTTAACGTACCGCGAACGACCACAGAACATCGAAGGAATTCTGGATGCTCGATTGGCCGTGGCCATTTTCTGTCCTGCGCAAACTTAACTGAACTGAACTCTGTGACCCCGTGGATTGACCTTGTCCTTTGGCGGTGGGGCGATTGTTGCGCTACGATGAAGCGAGTTGCGGTTTTGGGTTGCGGTGCTTGGGCTACAGCGGTTGCCAGAATAATTGCTGAAAATGTGAAGGTTTTAGAAGGTTTTCATGAAGAGGTTCGTTTTAATTGGATAATAGACTATTTTTAGGTGAAAATGTTCGTTCATAACGAAAATTATGAGGGGAAAAGTTTAGCAGATGTCATCAATGACAAACACATCAATCCGATCTATCTTCCTGGGTTCAAAATCCCCGAAAATGTGCTTGCTTCGTGTAACATTGAAAGTGTTGTCCAGAAAGCTGACATACTCGCGATAGTTTATCCGTCACGCTACGTTCCATGGCTTTTGGATCGCATACAGGATACTGTTAAAGACACCGCTTACTTTATCACTTTCACAAAAGTAAGTCCGATTTGTATACTGTTCTAAGTTTAAGCTGCGTGTAAGCCGTGTAATTTTCATCTGTGTATCCACTCGAGTCTAACTAGAAACCCATCATTATCATTCTGTACATCCGGAAAAGTGAATTCTTGCTTTTGTAGCTAGGTATTAGGCTACCCAACTGTTTTAAATCAGTTAAGGACCTGATTCGGTTTATTTTTCCAACTGCCTCAGTCCACATTATTGTACCATTAGTCTCTGGATAGTGATATTGTCTCATTCAGCTCCAGTTCAGTTCAGTTCACTTCGGTTTGCACAGGATGTTGTCTGGTTCGGGTCAATCGCCCGTCCAAGTGCTGTCAGCTAATCTTGTGACTTCCAACACTGCCAGTCAATAGGTTTTGTCGGGAAGGCAAAATGTGTGTTGCATCCTAAGTAAGACTTGGATCTCCAACCGACCTTAACGCATTCACTTTCTTGTCCGCTTTTTTTAAAATTCGACGAATGATGAATTCATAGCATTGATTGGCTCCATAAGACCGCATTCCTTAAGTACTCATTGCATACACACATTTATGTCTTCTACCAGAAATTTCAACATCTCACAACCGCGAAGCAGAACTGAGCGTAGTGGCGCAGTAAACGCGACTTTTCAACTCCAGTGAAACGTCACGTAGTCGCCACAGGTGTTTTAGTCCTACTTACGCTGCTCGAACTTTAAAAATGCGGGTGGTTTTCCCCTTCGATGCGCTACCGTCGTTGGTCACGCATCTACCTAAGTACCAGAAGCAGTTAAATTCAGCTTATTCCTGACTGCCTTGTTTCAGAACGTGACTCGGCGACGCGCAGTCTTACAGTGTCTTACAGCCTTCGA